TAATATTTGTAAAGATAGAAGTAATAATTATAATAGCATCTAGTACTTACTGAGAGCCTACTCTGTGCTGGGTACTATGCCAAGCACTTTACACAGTTGACTTCATTTAATCCTAACAACAACCCTACGAGGGAGCTACTGTGGGGCTAATAAGCCCCATTTTACAGATTAGGAAACCAACAGTACGAAAGTCAGTCGCACTGCTCATAAACCTCTGAGCTGGAGCTTGGGACCCAGAGCTGCCTGACCCCCAGTCCATGGTCTCAACCTGTCTCTAATCAACTAGTATTTACTGAGCATTGACTATGGACCAGGCCCTGGGCGAGACGTGACAGGTGTGATCACGAGTGAACCCAGACCCCATCTCCGCCCTCAAAGAGCCCACAATCTAGGGAGAACACAGCATTTGTCACATAATCCCCATGAGCACCAGGAAGGTTATGGTCGTGGCCTGGGCTACGGAAGAGGAGGTCTGTGGTACTTTGGGGGCAGAGAGCAGAGGGAATGGCCCAGCCCCAAGTGCCAGCCTCCATCTCTGACTCAGCTCTATCCCTGATTCCAAGCCTCGGGCCTTCACAGAGGGATTGCTCACTGGATGTTTTTCTACCCATTGGAGCCAAATTGGCTTCCACCTGTCTCTCTTCCAGGCCCCCCTGCCCTGGGGTAGCTTAACAGCACTTCCTGCCCTGTGCTTCAGAGATCCTTTTAGGTCTCCTGTGGCCTTCCTAAAAGTGTAGTGGATGCCTCTCTGCTGATGATGAGAGATTCAGACAAGCCACTTAATGATTAAGAGACAAGAAGTGTTCTCTAAGAGATGGGGAAGCATGGTTCTTGCTTCGCTCAGCCTGGATTCCCAAGACAGACGCGGAGCATGGACGCCACTCATTGCCTATTTGGGAGGAAGAGAAGGCGGCTAGCCTTCTTGGGGGCAGCAGGGGCCGAAGGGATGAGAGCATTTGGATTTCAAGGCGAAGTTGCTAGATTCCTTGAGGCGGGCAATAGACAACAGCCAGGCATCCTTGGGCCATCTAAACTGGTGATGTTGATGGTAGGTTTTCCAGTGTTAATCCTCGGTTTGTGTGGCTGGCAGGGAGGGACCTGGGGGCTAGAACGTTTAGGACGATCATCTCATTTTACACAGGGGAGAAATGAAGTGCCCAAGTTCTCGTGGCTGGTTGGAGGCTGAGGGACTGAAGCCCAAGTCTCCTGACTTGTGGTTCACTGCTTTTTCCTGGGCAGCCCACAGATAGGAATTCTCTTCTATGCTTAGGGCTCTGTGCATCCATCGAAGAGAAGGAAATGCTGTTACAGACAGCCAGCCTACTGGGGAACCGGCAAGAGCAATGGCGTGCTGTGGATGGGACTTTCAGAATCTTATTGCCCAGACGCCTGGGCACTGCAGCCAGGGGAGAGGGCTGGTATCAGGTGGATGGGTTGCACCTAAGGACAGACTTTTCCAGGAGCCAACACCCTGGTTGTCCCTCCGTTGGCAGCAGGTCTGCCCCCTCCAAACTCTAGCCAGGACTGAAAGCCAACTGCTCCTGGGCCCCCATCTGCCCCCTCAGCCTGCAGGTTAGCAGTCGAGAGGGCCAAGTTCGTTCCTGCCAATTTCTGGACAGCAGTGACCTCTCCATCACCGGGGAGCTCATTACCAATCAGGGGCCCTAAGGCGGCCTCCCCTGACAGCCAGTGAAGATGACAGCAATAATGTGTGGGCTGTTCTGCAGCCCCTGGTCACCCTGGTTTTATTAAAGCCAAAGTCTCAGGCATCACTAATGAGGATAAAAGGCTGGCAGGGAATATAGGATCTGGGGCTGGAACCTCCTAAGAAAGGGGGTGGGGCAGAGCAAGGATCTGGCAAGACCACCCAAGCGGGCTGAGCTGGGGCCCAGCTTTCCAGAGAGGGAGGTGGCTGCCAGGAAAAGCTGACTCTCTGTTTGCTTAGCCCCCCATCCCTTTATTTACTCAAAAGTAAACTGTTTATTTTCCTTTATCAAATAGGCCAGGCCTCTGCTTCCTGCATGTACAGGGGAACAACGCCCCCCTTGATCCATTGAGCCAAGGGCAACCAACTTGTGGTCAGGCCCCGTGAGGCCCAGTCACCCACGGCAGAAGGTCCTGGCCCCAACTGCAGGCCCCTTGACTCCTGTTTTCTCTCCGCCTGCAAGTCATGGGGGGATCTTGGCTCATTCCCTTTACTAGGGATGGAGAAAGGAGTTCACGGTCGGGAGCAGGGACCAGGGTGGGGGTAGGGAGCCCCACCCCACACTGTAGACTCAACACCCGCGTGCTGCCCAACTGCCACAGTCCTGTCCAAGAAAGGGCAGCCCTGCAGAAAAGAGGGGGGCCCTGCTGGGTCGGTGCGCCCCTGGAGGGAGCCATCCTTGAGAGCGGTGCAGAGCGCTGCACTTGATTCCATTTACCCCGAGAGATCTCCCACACCCCAAGCCAGTCTGCTGAGTCCATAAACAGATCGACTCAGACTCCCCCAAATAAGACAGCCCTTAAAAGGGCCACTCTGCATCGCAGGATGACAGTGACAGGGAAACCAGTCCCTTCAGAGGGGCCACAGGATTCCTTCCCAGGCCCGACCCTGATGGCAGCATTGACGTGGAGAACCACTCCTTCCAGGGCTCTCCTGGCTAAGATACGACCATGTGTTTCTACCTGCATTCATGTAGCTCCTCTCGTGCTCGGGGCACCTCCGAAGCACGGGTAGGTGTAAAGCAAGGCCTAGCCCCAGAGGGGCCTCCAGTCACCAGGTGCTGGTGGGAGGGCATGGCGGCAGCAGCGGGGGGACTTGGTAACACCTGTGGCTTAGGGGCAGAAGGTGCTGCAGGGGTGTGGGGGAGAGATGATCTCTGTGGGCTGGACCATGGGTGAGGATCCCCGCAAGATGCATAAGATTGTCTATGCCAAGACAAGAGGAGGAACATTCTGGCAAAAGGGACTAAAGCTACACCAGCCCTGTAGAGCAGAGGACTGGCATAGAGGAATAGAGAAAATAATCAGGTGAGGTAGTAAGGACGGGACCCCGTTGTTGAGGGGCCTCAATGCAAGCTAAGAAGATGGGCCTTGATTCCAGAAGCCGAACAAGGGGAGCCACTGGGGTGTTCAAGCAGCAGGCTTGATCTATAAGTTCGAGGAGTGCTCTCCTGAGTTGAGAGTCCAGCTGCATCTCCCACCAGCTGTGTGAGCCTGGGCAGAGCTTCGAGACCTGAGTTTGAACACTAAGCTCTTGAGTCTGTGAAGTGGAGGGAATAAGGACAATACCCCCCGCCTCACAGAGTTGATGTGCGCAGAGGGGCTCGTGGGTGTGGGTCTCATCTCCCGGCTGTGCGGCGCCTCGGGGTTCTGTGTGCTGGAGGGGGTCCTGCCTCTACGGAGCGTACAGCTCTGCTCCAGCCAGACCCCCTCCGGGGGACCTGGGGGGTTCCCCTTCGGCTACTCTGGGATTTAAAGACCGAGACTGAATCTCGCGCTAGGGCGAGGGTGGGTACCAGTTCTCCCTAGAGGAGAGCCCTGGGACCACACGCTCTGGAAGGGGATGGGAGAGGCTTGGATTGTCTCCAGCTGGGGCCAGGTATCAGGTGTCTCTAGGAGTCCCCGGTCAAGGGGGGTTCTTTGTGAGGAGAGGGGACAAAAACCTTGGTGTCACCCTTGACTGCTCTCTTCCTCACACTTCGCCTCCTCAGGGAGGCCTTCCCTGGCCAGCCTGTCTAAAATTCAAACAACGAAGCCTCCCTCTATGTGCATTACACATCCTCCTTCCATGCTTTACATTTTTCTCGTTGATACTTTGTACGGCCTTTTATATTTTTTTCTTGCCCTGTGCCCAAGTAAAATGTAAGCTCTGTAAGGGCACTCGGGGTGGGGGGGGGTTGTATTTTGTTCTTTCCCATATCTCTAGCACCCAGAACAACACCTGCACACAGCAGGTGCTCGGTGAACGTTTGTTGATTGACTGAACGAATGAACGAGCCAGTGGATGGCCCCATGTGAAATCAGAGCCACTCCAAACCCTGCCCTCCTCCTCTACCCAGGGCCGGGGGTGGGGGCACCAGGACAGCCTCAGAGCCTGGGGGGAGGTGTGGCAGCAACAGCATCCTCCATCAGGTGGGGAGCAGGGAGAGGAAGCAGTCCGGCGAAGTGCTATTTAACTTCACAGACAGACATTCTTACCCTCTTTGAAGTTTTCATCTTCCCCGCTACTGAGAAACTTCCTAGGATTGGGAGCCCCCGGGGGTAGGTGAGGTAGCAGAGTATACACTCCCTGCCGGGTCGTACGTGAAGGATGATCACACCTGAGGGAAAAAGGACGAGACGGATCCGAGACGTGGAGACATGGCACAGACCTGGGATGGGGAGTGCACATCTCCTTGGTGGGCAGCATGGCCTGAGCGAGGTCGCAATCCCTTGTGCTTTCGTGCCGAGGTCTGGAAGTTAGAGAGCTGGGCAGGTCTCTGGAGAGGTGGGGCTGCTGCTGGGCAGAGGGACTGGTGAGGAACAATGAGCTGAGGGCTGGAAGCAGACCTGCCGGGAGAGACCCCTGGATGGCCGGAGCGTGTCTTGTGCAGGACGCTGTCATGACCACGGCCAGGCAGGGGGCTGGGGTGTGGGGTCAAGGGGACCAGTGGCCAAGAAGGGTGAACTGGAGGGGAACGGGGCTGGGCCACTCCGGGGCTGCTGGTCTCGAGGCTACAGCCGAGGGACACATGGAGGGCAGGGCAGGACACAGCAGGATGGCAAGGACCGGGACCAGCATCTGAGCAGAGTTGAGAAGGAACAATGCACGGGGCAGATTCTACTGAAGAGGCAATATCGTTCGTTAATCATTGTCTTTTATTCCCAGGTACTCCCAGCATGGAGGCCAGACCCTCGGGTCCAAAAGACGTGGTACTTTGCCTCAAAGAGCCTTCTCCTGGGCCCCAGAGTGGCCCGCAGCAGCGGCCCTGGGAGCCGTGTGCCCGTCATCTGCCCTCTTGTCTGCTTCTTTGCAGGAAAGCGTGGATCTGGGAGAGATCATGTTCTCCCTGTGCTACCTGCCCACAGCCGGCCGGCTCACCCTCACAGTGATCAAATGTCGGAACCTCAAGGCGATGGACATCACAGGCTACTCAGGTACCTCTCCTCCCCAAGTGGCCTGCCAGCCACCCAGATGTTAGGACCTGGAAAGATGCTTAGAGAGAAGGGGGAAGAACTGTCAGTATTCTTAGAATTCTAAGAAGAGGAGCACCAGCTCTGGATTCCAATCCCAGTTCTGCCCCTTCCTTGCTGTGCAATGCTTTGATTTCCTAATCTGAAAAAAATAACTTACACAGGTTGCTTTAAGGGATAAAGAAGTTCACTCGTGTAAGTGCTTAGAGTTGTGCCAGACACATAATATATGCTCAGTAGACATTAGCTACTCCTATCATTTTCCCTCAAAGGAGAGAGAGAATAAGAAGTAAACACCTAGGAGAAAAAAAAAATAAGGAAAATCTTTCTAGTTATACGAGGCCCCAGGACTTTCAAGGGTTTTGTCAAGTTTGAGTGTGTAAATGTTTGTAGGTCAGCACAGCCCCCCGGCAGCCCCGCAGACCTAGTCAAAGGGACAAAGCCACTGCAAAGCCAAGTGTATTTGTATTTTGAGTTTTTCCTGCAGGGCTCCCGGCCCCAGCCTCAGCACCAGGATTGCTGTTAGGTACAGAAACAGTCCTGTTCTAGCAACTGAGCCCATGCTTGCTTGGCGGCCGCTGCTGAGACAGATCCTTTTCCATGATTCTGCAAGTCGTTGTCAGATAAGGTATTTGAGTTTTGATACAACAGAGGCGTAGCTTGAGTCCCAGGAGCCTCCTTCCCCCTGTCGGCTCACATTAGCCCGAGAAGAGAAATGGGGTGAAGTGTCCCGAAGAGTAGATGTGCAAAACAGCCTGAGCTGCACTCAGAGTTGCAAATGTAGGAAAAGGCTTGTTTCCCTGAACCCATCACCCATGAGGCTCTTCTGAGGAATCAGATTTCCAGTGTAAAACCACTCTAGAGGTGCCAGTTTTTCCTTTTATTCATTATTTATTTGCCTGGAAAACTCCTTAGTATCATCACAGTTGCCACAAAAGGGGATGGGTCCAGCTGCAAACCTCCAGGCCCAGGTGCAACTTGGTGTAGTTGGAAGGAGATGAGGTATTAGACCTTGAAAAATGAGGTTTCGGAGAAGGTGGTTGGAAAACGCTGAAGCAACGTGTATTTGTTGCCACTTTGACTCCCTGGGAGCCTCTGCTCCCAGCCCCCACTGTCTCTGTGCAGCACTCGCGTCTTCCAGGCCAAAAGCTCCCCAAGATAGCGCCCACCCTAATGCCTCTCCTTCCACTGAAGCTCTTCGGGGAGGACATGGGGGGAGAGCTTAAAGAGCCTCTTCCGACATGCGCAAAGCTCTCAGGCCCCAGCGAGTCAGCTTCCTCCAAAAATACAGCCAATGTAGATTCCATTTTAATATCAAAATAAGTGCATGCTGAGGAGAGAAATGCACTGAGGACTCTCAAGGCTGCTGAAGGAAATAGGATTTTGCTGCCTAAGTCCCCACACTATCTTCTCTGGTGTAATTAAATTGATGTGCTAGAGAGAGAGCTTATGGCAAAGCCACTGAGGTAACCATAAGGGCCGTTCCACATCAGAGGGTTGGGGGGAGAGATTTTTCTCATGCTAAATTCTAATCTCCCTCTTGCAATTGACCCTCTTTTCTACCTGGGTTTGGAATCTGCTATTAAATCTCAGCTTGATTCTGAAAATTCAGGGGTCCTCTTTTTGTTAGGGATTTGTGTCTGTTTGGTTCACAGATGTAAGCAAGTGTCTGGAACAGTGCATGCAACACAGTAGGCATTGAATAAATATGTTTTGAATGAATGAATGAAGGGATAGCACAAGGAGCCTTGTCAGAGGGTGGAACAGTGGAGGCCTGCATGCCAGGTGCCTCTCAAACTAGATCTCCTGTTTTTGAGGATGAGTTTGATGTTGCCTTTGGCCCAGACTGCTTAGATATTGGGATAAAGCAGGGAGTGAATGGAGCTTATTGCCTGTTCTTGATTTCTATGACATTGACCGCCAAACCTGAGGGTCTTCCTAGTCTCTTTGATTTAACTAGTCATGAATCAATTCCCTAAGCCCATCCACTGGAACGATGACAATGAAAATAACACAAAATAATAGTAAGGATCAGAACACCACAAAAGGGTGGTGAGTAAAAGCACCCATCTCCTCCACAGCTGGTCTGTACTGATTTGAGTCTAGTGGTTTAAAGTGTAAACTTGGGAGTCAGACAGACCTAGGTTCAAATCTGAATCTCTTTAGCCTCCATCTCCCTATCCAAGAAAGGGGATGATGGTGATAGATATTTTTTATAGCTTAAAAAAGCTATAGGAAGCTATAGGTGGGAAGCTTAAAAGACACGAGGTACATAAATCTCAGCACAATGCCTGGCACATACTGAATACTGAACTATGATGGTTCCTATGACTGTGGGGCTGAAATGTCAGGCTCTGCACTCCCTCCTTCAGTTGCACTGAACATCATCGGCTGTTAGAGAGCAAACAACCTCCAAGGTCTTATAGAGCCAGCATTCCACTGGAAGCCACACACTTTTTGCCCCCAGAGAATCCTAAGGAACAGTCATCTCTCTGCTTAGCCTCTTGGACAATCACGAGATTGATGGTTTCTTCAAGGGAGCTACACCCACTGAGTTTTATAAATGGATATGCCTCGTAGGAGTGAAGAGAGTTGGAGAAGGAAGCTGAGAATCTCCCAGTCGGTAATAAGGCATCTGCCTAGTGGCCTCCTGGACAGGTGGCTCTGCCATATTTTTCCAAGCCTGGTGGCATGGGACTCTGCTGGGCTGTGGGAGCGCATGGAAATGGGCATGGCAGGTGTTGGGGCAGCACTCAAGCAGCCTCAAGCCTGAAGACACTTTCCAAGGCAGTGTCCACCTTATGGAGTGTAGACGTTGCCATGTTAGTGATGGGTCTTGGAGCAAGCTTGCCCCACCTGACTGCTTGGGCCGGAACCCTGCCCTGGGTATATCCATAGAGAATGGAGTCCACCAACACCAGAAAGCTGTCTCACAGAGGTTCTAGAACTCTAGACTAGATTTCTAGGAAGGACTCTGCCTTCCTTTTTACTGAAAACACCCATGAGAGAGAGGACCCTTCCAAGTGGGTCGTTGGAGACAGCAGGTTGATTAGACACCTGCTCTTTAATCATGGTCTCCCCATCTCCCTTGTAAACCCAAGTGCCCCCATGGTTAAAGCATAGCTGCTCTGTCACATTAGTTAGTCGGCAGCTCCTTTGGGTGTCTACAGCAATGCCTTCAAGGCTAGGCATTTCCGATCACATGTCGTAGTTCTCTCTAGCTTCCCCATAGCTAGGTGTCTCAGCTGCCACCTGATCGATGACCAGGGAGCGTGAGGGCCTGGCGGGTGCTCAGGGGCCCAGGACATAGAACCGCATGCCTAGGCCTCGGGGCGCTGGGCAGCGGCCGCTCGGCCTACACCTCCTGATGGCTTCCTGGGAACCCTGGCTTCTGGGCAAGAGGTTGTCTCAGTACATCAGTGTCTCAAAAGCTGTTATTACCTCTGAGGCGCCCGCCCATTGCTGGAGCTGAGCAGCATAAATAACAATTACAGTGGTGCCTAAGACACCTGGGCTATGAGATACAATAGGTGTCACTTCACTCGGATGAGTGGAAAATTTCAGGGTAGAAGGATGACCACGAAATACCTATTCAGAAAACTAAAGAAGAGACAGGGATGGGAAACATGTGGAGGTTCAGTAAAAAGATACCTCCTCTGGGGATGGAGAGGATCCAGGATCCCACTGAGCAATGAAATGTCACCAGGCTGTCCCGAATCTCAGGAAGCCGCCTTACTCACGGCCCCCAGCACAGCTCTGTCCACCTCCTCTGCCCAGAAGTGGGCAGGAGACGGCTTCCAGGGAAGCAGAGAGCAGGGCCCTTCCTGACGCCAGCTGGAAATGAGCTTGCTGGGACAATGAGACCCATAATCCTGTTGTCAGGTGGGGAGGACATGAACAGTGTTGTGATTGTCGCTGTTCATTTACTCACACCCTGCTACTCCTTGGGTGTCATCAACTTCTATTTTTACCCCCCTTATCCTTTGGCTAATAATGCTGACAAACCCCCAGAGGAAAGGACTCCAAGCAGATGAAGGGAAGGGTGACTTGTTCAGCTTCACCACTCTTTGGAGCCAGCCGGCCATCGCCGAGTGGGGATGTAGGGCTGTGAACCGCATACCCACGGGCAGGTGTCCTGTCTGATTTAAGGCCAGCTTCCCCATTAGTGAAAGTCCATTAGGCACTCTCCCAATAATCCTGAGGTCGCTATAGACTCTGTGTTTTATTAAGCACGAAGTGTCCTCAGAGACAGGTGTGCTACATAAATACAAGGTGGTTTAATTATCTTAACAACCCACGGATACCATCTGATAAGCAACAGTAGGTCTGTGGCTTCCGTCCCTCTGCTGCAAATGATGTTCCAGGACATCTGGTTAACATGCTCCCTTCCCTTCCCATCACCCCCACTGGCGCAGATCCATATGTCAAAGTGTCCCTGCTTTGTGACGGGCGGAGACTGAAGAAGAAGAAGACAACCATAAAGAAGAACACTCTTAATCCTGTCTACAATGAAGCCATCATCTTTGATATTCCCCCAGAGAACATGGATCAAGTCAGCCTGCTCATCTCGGTTATGGATTATGATCGGTAAGTGCGGATCCCAGAGGGCCACGGTTCCCTGCCTCTCACCCCCATGCCAATGCAGTACGGGGTTTCCTGGCCTTGGGCCTTGTGGTTCAGGGCTCAGGAGCCCATTGGCCTCAAATCTGGCTCTACCCAAGAAGGGTGCAGGAGTTTGAGGAAGAGCATGGATACCCTTGAGCAAAAGCTAAAGCTTTGCTTCCCAGTGGGCCCATTTCTGTCAGGGCCTCATCCACCCATCAGTTTCCCTGAAATCGCCCCTACTGATTCCTGTTCCTCCATCTGGCACCAAGTCTGATCACCTGTCCTCCCATTTCTGATGCTGCTACCATTCCCACTGAGGGATGGCTGTGCAGCCTCCCAGCTGACCCAAGCCAGCCAATGCATGAGAGGCATGCCTTCCTAAAAGACCACTTTCTTCTGGGACCTGCCCTCTCTCAAGAACCATCAGTGGTTCCTGTTAATCCAGGCCCTTCCCCTGGTTTCTCAAGGCCTTCCAGAATCTGGACCCAGCATAATCATCCAACTTAATTTCCCCTTCCTTGCATGGATTTCTTCTCCTCCACTTACCCAAATCCTCTCTTCCATCAAGCCTAGCTCAAAAACGTTTTCCAATCCCCCGCCCCCTGCCCCCAGCCACCATGACTCCTATCCAGTTGTCACTCCAGCTGAAGGAGAAAAAAACAAACAAACATGCAGTAAAGCCCCTATCCAGGATTTTTAGCATAAGTTCTTGGGCATAGTAGGTGCTCGCTGAACATATTTGGGTGATGACTGATGTTCTTGCTGAGTGAATAAATCACATTCTAGCCGTTGGGAGTATGGAGAAATGGTGCTTAGAGCAGGGTGATTTATTTCCAAATGCCGATGTCTTGAGCGAGGGTGTGATGTGCTAGCTGAGTCAAAGAAGGGTAAAGACTGAAACTCTCCCTTTGCCCAAAGTCAGGCCATCTGCCCACCATTTCCTGAGATTCCAAAGTGGTTTATAATCTTTTTCTCATCTGTCTGAGTCAATGTCCACCCAAGGAGGCTGGGCAAAGTTTCATTGCCACTGGCACTCTGAGACCCTGCCAAGCATCTCTTTTCAGAGCTCAGCATTCTGAGTTAGACCTGCCAGGCAGAATCCCAGACTCCAGGACCCTTCCCCTTCTGACAGCATGTCTGGTCAGCATCTCTGGCCCCTTTGTTTCTCCCCCAGAGTGGGCCACAATGAGATCATAGGAGTCTGCCGCGTGGGGATCAACGCTGAAGGCCTGGGCCGGGACCACTGGAACGAGATGCTGGCGTACCCGCGGAAGCCCATCGCACACTGGCACTCCTTGGTGGAGGTAAAGAAATCCTTCAAAGAGGTGGGTGAGGTCGTGCTCGGCCCTTGGCATGTTTGCTGCATGGCCACTCAGGCTGGAGAATGGCAGTCGGCGGCTGTGTGACCTCGCCCGTGTGGGTCCCTCCCAGGGTGCGTGGGGGCTCCATGCTTCTCGCCCAGTGTGTAAGCAGCAGGAGGGAGAAGGAGGAAGACAGGGGGAAGCTGCCTGACAGAAAGCCTTGGATGTCGAGCATATTGAAAGCGACACTGAGTTCTAAATGGAAAATTAAAACTCAGAGGAAGCCTGCCCAGTGTCTCCATTGTGCCAGGCCCGGAATGCTTTCAGAGAGCACCCCCCCCGCCCAGGCCAAGTCGGTCCTCAGGGAGAAAGCCCCAAGAGGGTGAGATCAGAACTTGGCAAGAAATTCTACCCCTGTCGAATCACTATGTTCCCTGAGGCTCTAGCCAGGCAGTCCCAAGGCAGTCTTCATGGGCTCCATGCAGATGGCCAGAGACGAGACCCTGCAGCCATGAATCTGCTTCTCCCATTGCTGGAGAGAGTATGGCTTCGAGGCGTCACGCTCTCCGAGAGGATCCCAAAAGAGATGTAACACATGGAGCACTGCCGAGGAGTCCTGAGGCTTGGGCTCCAATCTGGGCCCCTTCGGACTTGCTGTTTAATCTTGGGCCAGTCATTTCTCTCAACGGCAAAGAAAATGTCCCTTCCAGTGATTCTGACAGTCGGCTCCCCTCCACCAAACTCCACCAATGTGAGATCCTTCAAATTATCATCCTGGTTGCTCCCAGGCCTGCTTTTTCTCCAAGGGGTTGGGATGTGTGGGTAGCCAGGCAAGCTTGAAACCTCATTTTGAGGCTCTCATACCCCGATCCAGATCCCAGAAAGCCCAGGTGGTTGTTTGTTCATCCTAGGCTTTAAGCCTAGGAAGTCTAGAGTCTAAAATTGGAAAATCTACTAATGAAAAATAAATAAATAAAGCTTTCATCCTTACACCACATGGCCCCTCAGCTTAAAAGCAGTCACCTTAAAAACAGAGTACCGTTGACCTTTGAACAACACAGTTCGAATTGTGTGGGTCCACTTGTGTGTGGATTTTTTTAAAAATAAATACAGCACAGCACTGTAAATGTATTTTCTCTCCCTATGACTTTCTTAATAACATTTTCTTTTCTCTCACTTTATTGTAAGAATGCAGTGTAGAATTCCTATAACATACAAAATACATGTTCATTGACTGTTTATGTTATCGGTAAAGCTTCTGGTCAACAGTAGGTGATTAGTAGTTAAGTTTTGGGAGAGTCAAAGTCATATCGGATCTTCGTGCAGAGGGTCAGTGCCCCTAATCCCAATGTTGTTCAAGGGTCAACTGTAATCCCTTTTTTGGGCTTTGGGACACAGGAAAGGTGTGGGCAACAAAGCCAGAGGACCTGTCAGCTCTCCCTTCTCTTTTTGGTATGGCCAGGCCTGTTTCTCCCTGCTTCCAGCACTGTGAGGTATCTTAGGAGAGACTGAGGGCTGTGGGGGAGAGAGGGTTCCGGGAGCCAGGCTAATTGATTTACCTACTGAGGTGGGCATGCCTTTGAGGCCAAGCATGAGAAGTAAGGCATAGACACAGTTCCTGTTCATCGGAAGCCTCCTGTTTCTAGCTTGTGGCTGCCTTGATGTTACCACAGCTGTGAAGCTTGAATGACGGAGACTGGTCCCTCAGCTCTCCGGCTCCCTTCCCCCAGGGGAGCCTCTGCCCCCTCTTATGCAGAAGGATCTCTCTGCAGGGTATGGGTGAGGTACCCACAACCAGCCTCTGCCTCCACAGAAGGCAGCTCTTAGACGGAACTGAGGATGACCTGGGGACCACACCTGGCACCTCACTGAATGCAGGCTTGATTCAACCAAGGGAGGGTGCCACGCCCCCTCTCTCCTCTTAAATCCCTTGGAGATATTTAAGAGTAGAATAAGCAAGCATACTAAAACGTTCAGGATGGTTTAGGGGCAGGGACATGTAAGCTAAGTGGCCCCGATGGGCTACAAGGCTTCAGGCAACTCACTGCCCCCTCTGGTCTCCAGTTTCCTGGTTGGTAAATGATGGGGTCGGCTCCGTCATCTCTGCTTTTCTAGGAAACTCTGACCCTAAATGATGACGAGTGGAGCCAGGGAGCCCTCATGTGTTACCAGCTCAGGGAGATAACCCTCCCCATGTAACTGGACCACTCTGTCCACGCAAACTGAAGCTACCAGCCAGGGGCGGCTGGAGTTGGGGGTGGATGCAGGGAGCACAGAGGTGCCGGCCCTCAGTTCCAGAATCACTCCGTGATGAATACAACCTAATTAAGCCAAATAATTGATTCCGAGTCCTATTCCTTTGAAAACTCTGACTCACTAGTCCAGACTACAAAAGAAAGAAAGATAAAGTAGAATCAAGCCCTTGAAAATGAATATTTGATGAGACAGTAAAGGGAAAGTAACAGTATATGGAAAACGAAAAGAGAATAAATTGATTCATATCCTTTGGGTTTACTTTTTTCTTGACCTCACACACCAAGCTCCCGAGCCTGCCCCTCCCCCTCTCATTATCCTACCATTTTCTGCCCAGCTGATCATTTCTCTGTATGAAGAAGCTGAAAATGACATTCATCTTGGCAACCTAGGATTTCACCTACACTTTTAGCACCCACAGTTTAAGTATCTTCATAAAACTGCATCTAAAAACCTACCAGGCAGATACAAAATAAACCCTCTTTGGGCTCAAGTGATGCATTGCACTCTAACATCTATCACCTCAATCACCCTTAGAGCTCCCATCTTGCCTCCTCGCTTCTGTTCTGGACATCGAGCAAGAACCTTGCTCCTAGAATTTGTTTCCCCCATTTGTATCCTACATAAAGAAATCTCACTCTCCCGCTCCCGGGAAGATAAACGGCATCACATCTATAAAGCACTCTCTATTTAGATTGTACCTTTCTTCGAGGAGTTTCGAGTGCTGTGATCATTTCTTTTTTATTAATGAGAACAGAGGGCACCCTATTTGCTCGCTTGTTTGGGGTTTTAAAATAAGGTTGAGGGGAACAAATGAACTGAAAAGGTATTTTTCCCTGCTGGGATGTTTTCGCGAGTAGAATCTGATCAGGCCCCAGCGAGCATCCTTCCCGGCAGCAGTGGCGGTGGTCCCCTTCCCTCTGAGCACCCCTGCCCGGTGCTGCGTGTCATTGCTGTCACCGCACCCAGAGCCGAGGCTGACCAGCAGCCTTCTCCAAAGGCGTTCTATCAGGGAGGGCCAAGTGGAGATCAGCTTCCAGAGATTTCAGATCTCTGTTTGAGCGTGACCCATCACAGAATAACAGAAGGTCTTACTGGAACACAGACGTCCTGGAACCATCACCTTCCCGGGTGCCGGGGAGGGCCGGTCTTTGGGATTTCAGAGCCACCATGATAAGCCTGCTGCAATCAGTCACCATCCCATTGTCCACGAAACCCATTTCCGTCCTCTGTTTATCTTCACAGAAACAATCAGGGGCTGCCAGGGAAGCCAGTGTGCCTTCCTCCTGTGTCCTGGATTAGCAATTACGCTCTGCGTGACTTGGGCTATTATATAAAGAAAAGAAAGGTACTCTGTGTGGCCATCTCGCTTTTTCTCCTCCGCACTGGCCTATCAGTCAGATTGTTTAAGTGGTATGCTTACCCAGGGGAGAAGCCAGTAATTACATGTACCGTTCACCAACACTATAGGCTGGTGCAGAAAAAGTGGAACCCCTAAAACAAAGGTGTGTTGAATGAGAACACTGGTGATCATCTTGTGTCACCTTCCGGTTAAGAAGCACTTGAGTCAGAAGTCACAGTGGGCTCAACAACCAGGCACTTATTTATTTAAAATATTTCACCAGGGAAACCCTCGGTTGTGATTTCTTTCACGTGGACGCTGCACGCAGAGAGACTGCCACCTGGAGTTAGGAGTAAGTACCCGGTGTGGACCCGAAGAGGTTAGGCTTCCTCCTACACTGTATGTCTCCTTCTCCCCTTGCTGTGGCCGGATGCTAAAGTAGCAGCAGGATGGAGTGGAAGGAGCAGTGAGTTGGGAGTTAGGAGACCTGGTTTCACATCCTGGCTCTGCCCCTAACTAGCTGTGTCTTGACTTCTCTGTGTCTTGGTTTTGTCACGGGCAAGAACTAGAGAGTTGGCTGGATGATGCCCTGGGCCTGCCCACAGGTCCAGCATGCTAAGATTGCTCGGGCCTAGGGCGCGTCCTGGTGGTCTTCCATACCCGATGGTCCAGCGTTGGGTTAGTTGTAAAGATCTGCCGGTTGGCCTGCACAGGGACACTAAGGGACTGAGCCCGGGGAAGTTGACAGAGGCTTTCTGTAGAAGTGGGAGTGTGGAGATGTTCCACAGGTCTGGGTCTCTCCTCAGCACTGTGGGTTTCCAGTAGGAAACGCTGGCTGACAAACAGTCTACTCCTTAGGTGGTTCAGCTCTGTCTAGAAATGGCTGTGTTGTGGGGAGCACGGCATCCTTCCCCCTCCCGCCCCCATTCGTGTACAAATGCATAAAGCAGCTTCTACTTGGCCCATCATTCCATAATGGAGACCCCCAGAGCTCAGGGGGAGCAGAGGAGACTGTACTTCTGTTCAGAAAGGGCACCTCGACCACCTCCCTGACTCCCTCCGGAGCCCATCCCACGGGTACCTGGGAGAGGTTTGGGTCTCCTCAGCATCCAAGAAGGATGGAGTGAGCGGTGGACACTCTCTCACTTTGAAGTTACACGGCTCCAAGACGGGTCAAGAATATTCCCAGGGTCAGATCTTTGCCCAGAACACAGTGCTCCAGCGTGACTGGCTTTTCAATCTAAGGAAGGGTCGAATGGCTCAGGTGCGGGTCCCCGTCCATCCTCAGCCCTCTCCTTTGCTCCATTATGCCTCATTACAACACCCACCTCGACAGAAGGGTCAGGGTGGGGCTGACGGGACAACCTGTGAGGTGGGAGAAGGCAGGGGATGTTCCGGAAAGGGGAAGGGGCTGCCGGCCTCACACCCCCACCTCCTCACAAGGTGGGCATGCGTGCCCCCAAAAGCATTAAGCCTGAGAAAGAGAGCCGGACGCTAAAGCAATATCAGGTTTGTAGCTGTACTAACAGCTCCCAGACAAATTGCTAATAATTCATGATCGTGGGTTCTTGGCAGTAAGGGCACACTCTGTAGACTGCCTCTTTCCCTGCTAACATAATCCGATTTTCAGTGTGAAAAATGGCTGAAGCACTCAGAAATGGTCCAGTCATAGCACCTCATTCACACACACACACACACACACACACACACACACACACACACTGCACATAGTGGAGAAAGCTTTCATTATCTCTGCAGTAGGTCTTTTTTTTTTAAATCAGGTATTCCAAACTAGAGGCTCTACAGCTCTTTTCTTTCTGTTTTTGCATGGCTGACAGCAAAATTCAAGTAAGCTTATGAAAAGCCGGGAAAAGTGAATTCAGTGCATGAATTCACTTTTCAGAGAAGTTCTGAAAGTTGAAATGCAAGTCCCCTTGGCCATCGATAACCCCCCTTCTCCCCTCTCCGCAGTGGCAGGGCCGGGCTGCCAGCTTTGACAGCGAGAGCTCGTGCCCGTCTCCGAAACCACCTCCCACACCATGAGCCGCGTGGCCGGGCGACACCAACGGGACTCGGCGACGTTTTTTTTGCACTCGTCCCACCGTCCAAACACAGTGTTGCGCAGGGGCAGCAGCGGCCGTAGCACGAGTCCGAACCGCTCCAGTGTAGGTCAAGGCCAAGACCCTTGTCGTGTGGCCAGACCTGTCTTAGTCTTTCTTGTCTCCCAAGGTGATGTTTTCTGTGGTTTTCACTTTTTATGGATCGGCTGCCAAGAAGAGAAGGGGGGAAAAGTAGGAGAGAAAGAAGCGTGGAGAGCCCAGAAGCTGGTTCATATAAAATACAATGTAAAATAGTTGTCTTTCCCGGGGGAGGTGGTTTGAGTTCCTGCAGTGTTGTGTCTCCACCAAGCTCCACAAGCCTATAGACGAAGGACATGGGATGGAGCCACGGCTGCGTCTGCAGTGGCCTGCGGAAAGATGCAGATCGGGCCAAGAGCCTTTACAAGGCTAGCTGTGACCCTCGGAAGCTCTTCGCCTCTGTGACACAAACCGAAGTGTAGGCTCCTGGTCCTACGGTGAAATCATGAGTGCTCCGAGGTGTTGTCGCACCTCCCGTGGCTCGTGCAGGGCTCCTCCCCGCCCCCCTTTCCTTGTCAACTTTCCTCATCATCTGAAAATGTCTTGATTCCTCGTGGGAACTTAGTCTCTCTCTTTAGGAATGATTCTGCTGAAACTAAACATGCTGTATGTTTTCTGGCACACCACAGTTAAGGACCACACTTGTTTGAATACGGGATCTTTGTTCTCAAAAATAACCTTCGTTGTAAAGAAGAGAAGGCACACGTGTTCCAGAACGACTTCTGTGTTATGCGTAGCTTTATTAATTCCATGAAGTATCAAGCAACTGCTGAAAATGCCTAAATAGGTCAAAGAAACACCTAGATAAAATGTTCTTTGGGGAATGGGGAGTTTTAATCCAAGTCATAGCTGGAATCCATCTTTCTGTGAAGAGAATCTTCTTGATTGAAACAAAGTCAGCCTAAGCCTATTTCAGCCCCCCTGACTCTGGGACAATATTCATCTTAAACTTTAGTTCTATAGATTACTAAGTACTTCAGTGTTTGTTTCAGTGGTAGTGAAGGTTTTTTGGGTTTTTTTCCCTTTAGATCTCTACCTTAGGCCAAATTCAGTTTAGGAAAAAAAACATGTTTCAACTCTTCTGTATTGTAATAGTATGTTTCTGTTGAGTTCATATTGGTCTTCCCACCAACCACCTATAACTCAGTTGATTTGCTCAATCTCAGTCTGTATAGCCCTGGTAAATTCGTGGAGGTGAGTTTCTACTTTATCTGTGACTACACAATGCCAACTTCCAGACTTGTGTGTGTGACTTGCAAGAGGCAAGTCTGCTGAAGAACACCTTCTTCCACCAGTGGAAGGTCAAGAAGGGAAAAGCTATTCACACACCTTGTGTCTTATTCTTTATATATGTCACATGCTTTAGGAGCAGAAACTCAATAAAGTAACCCTCACCTTAAGCCAAGTTATCAGGTTTCTCTGCTGATATAACTTTAGGCAGTGTCTTCTACCCAAAGTTCAGATTGGCGTGAGGGTGACCAGGATATTGTGGCCAGAGATGTTTTCAGCTTAGAAAAGTAAAGGCAGGAAGAAAAAAGAAAAGTAAAGGCAGATAAACCAAACTCCACTCTATACTGAGCCTTAGGCTAGGAGCTAATGTGTCATTGGTATAAAGATAAGTTTTCTCTCCAAATGTCTTGTGATTGATAGGCCATCCTAGTCAGGCAGTACTGCAGCTGGAAATTCTTTTGAGAGTGAGCAAAAAACCCCCAAAGGCATGGCAAGACTCAGAGCAGGCCATAAACTTCATTCTGTCTCTTGACTCTAGACTGACCCCATCAACACAGCCAACTCGATCACTGAGCAGATGTCGTGGGTCCTGCAACTAGGAAGGGGACAGTTGAGTTTCCTGGGTCATGAGCAGCCCAGAAATGAGTGTGAGAGGATCTTTCCAGAAGTGATCTCAAAACTCATGTCCAGCTACCATCTTCATACCCCTAGACACATGAGGTTGACCACTCAACTCTTTTGGAGGAGGGAGTATGATCGGTGTGAATCATGGAATAGTTACTGCTCTCAGACATTCCTTTTATGTCCAAGCAGCTAACTCACACGAGTGAACCTCTCAGTGGTTTGGGGAAGTCATTTCCTGAGCAGATTATGGTTAGCCCCACACCACCTACCCAACTGCTACCGCTCCCATTACAGCAGTCTTGGTAAATTTCTACAGGCTCGAAGCCTACCCCAGGGAGGCTCTCAGCTCCAGGAACCCCACTCCCAGTGTCTTCTGCGGGGACTAGTCCTCAACCCAAAGCATGAATGAACCTGAATGTCTGCCAACTTCATTATCTAGCCCAACACCTCTTCCTCACAGATGAGAATAAAATGAATTACAAATTTCAGAATAAAATGAAATACAAAGTCGATTCATTTGTTAGCTTCTCTGCCATGAGAAACCTTTCTTGGGTTGGTGTTTTGAGCTTTGCTGAAGTCATGATAACCAGGGCCTTTTGCATATCGATGTTTTTTAAAAAATGCAAAGTTCCCTTCTTTATTTAGCAGTTTTTCTGGGCTGAAAGAGGCCGCCCCCTTCCTTCACATACTCAGGATATTAATTAATTGCAACATCATTTAAAAAAATTATGTTGTTAATTACCGCTTCATGTCTCCCACCTCGTCACAGCCTGGAGTTTTTATTCAATTAAATCTCTGTCTGTTGCCCATTTCTCCTGTCATTGTATGTTCCCAAGATTTAGCCGTCCGCATACACACAGGACACCACACAGCTTTCATCTTTAAGCTTTGTTTCACATAGATAGCCACTTCCCTTCCATCAGAGGTACAGCGGAAGGGCTTGTTTGTTTTTAGTTCTGCCCAAGGAATACCTGCATACCGCATAAAGCTGAAATCCACCTGTGTTTTGTCAGGCTTACGGCTCACAGAGCATTTGGTGCGCGGGGCTGTGCTGTTTCCTCAGCTGCTCAGTGCAACGAGCAGCCCCTCCAGATGCCCAATCTTCTCTAGGGAAGCGGGTTGCACGCTCATAGCTGGAAAGTGCAACACTTCCGCCCACCAGGGGAGGAATCCTGCTAACTCTCATAAAACACCACTTGGCCGAGTGAGGAGAAAATCCTACCACAGACTCGAACATTTAAAAAGGACATTCTGACTTAATAGAATATTCTCTGTGCTCACCCCCAGCTTTTAATTAATTTAGGAAGCA